TTCAAATTTCCCAAAGTTTTTCAAGGAGTTGGCGATGCAGACCTACCTACCTGCTACACTATCACTTACATAGCTCTTCGAAATGATCAGTTCCCTGGACTCACATAGATCTGCCAACTCCTGCACATAGCAAGCTGAAAATCTAGATGGAAAGCACAGAATTGAATGTTTAAAAAAAAAAAAAAAAAAAAAAAGTAGCATTTGGAATAAATTTCACTTTTAATAAAAGAAATAACATCAAGGTAATAATTAAATGACTGTTGTTGTGTTTTTTCACAGTGATGGATTTCTCTTTGAACATGACTTGTTCTGGAAAATATTCAAAGATCTTGGCACATACTTGTTTGATTTTGGGGCCTCTCTATTTTGTTTTGTTGGTATAAATATTGTGCCGTCCAGAAGCTGCGTGAATAAACACACATTCCATATAACCTCAACATGTCCAGTTTGACTCTGGCAGGGGACATTTGTTGCACAGAAAATTGGTACCACAGCCATTAGCTGTAACTTCAATATCACTTGTGTTGTCTTTTGTTTTGGAATACACTAATGTATATTTCTGGCATCACCTCCTTCACTGCAACTCACTTTGGGTGGGGACAAGCTGACCTCTACTCACTGAGTGTGCTGGCATTTGCACGCAGCACTTTACTCAACAGACTGTGAGAACGCCAAATTTGCATTCGTTTGGAGTATACAGGAGTCTGAGCAAAGAGTTTGAGAGCTGGCTCAGGGACAGTCCAGCAGAGAAATGGTCATAAATAGTGATGATAAATCTCATCTGTGTGTAAATGAGCCAGACTGAGACACCTGGGCTCATTTCCAAACAGCAGATTTCACCTTTCCAGCAGCATGGGTTGCTACAAGACTTGTTAAGGGAAAAGCAGCAAAAAAGTAAATTTTTAGAATTATACATAAATGTCCTAGGGCATGTTACACGAACATCTTCCCCTTCTCGTGTCCTTCATTAAGTCCTCCAAGGGGCGTACTACATTACAAAGTCTATCCATTACCTTTCCATTAGGAGTTAAAGTGGGAGGAATATGTGGCCTCATTGTCTGGAGGGATCAATAAGGATGTTTTATAGCCTGTGCAATGTGAAACTATTGATCTTGAGATGACTCAATGACCTTGATGTACAGTCAGTACACACTGAATGACCTTGGCAGACAGGCAAAACATTGAGCAGAGACTTTAAGCATGTAAATGAAGTGCCTTTTGTATCACATTAACAAACAGGCAAGAAGGTATTTACATATACTGTCCTCTCAGTGGATCCTCTAAGCTAAACCACTGGCTAACAGTAGAGGTGAAACGGTTCACAAAATTCACCGTTTGATTTTACACAACAACACGTCTCAGAATTTGGGACATTTTTTAATCAGCAAAATAGTGAAAAGGCCAGAGAAATTTCCTTGATTTTTGGATATTATTTGTATTAATTAAAACCAACATCATAAAGTATGATCTATTTTGACTAGCATTGTAGTTGTAGAGACAATTCTGTTTTGAAATGCCAGAGAGATTTCTGTGTTGTTGTTTTTTTTAAATTTTGCTGCATGTTTGTAAAGTCTGCATTTTCACTACAGAGTATGGTCTCATATCTGAAGCCATATGTATACCCATGGTGATTTCTCTGCACTGTCTGAATCAGTTGGGAATGGCTACCTAAATGCTGCTGGGGTAACGTTCGCTTGTAGCTTGTGTTGCTCCTTGTTTCCATCTAGTTCCACGTACTGACACACTGGGGTGAAGTCAGCATAGATGAGTTGACATGTTTGAAGTATTCCCACTGATATAACTTACTGTTGTGTAGCAGATGTCACATACTGTTCCTTTTTTATCCAACACACTCTCCCCATCACCCTCATAATTCACAGTGAAACCAAAGTGGCTCCAGGAGCCAGACCTGTGGGTTATTGTGGCTGCCTCCCAGTGTGTGTCACTGGAGTAGAACGTTTTGGTTTGGGTAGGGGAAGGGCAGACAGCATGTTGCCTGATTCATCATGTGGGCTGCCATGTTGAGCACATTGGCACTGAGAACATTAGATTTTGCAGAATTTAAGCTGTATATATATATATTGTCCAAATGTAATAGGATAAAAGTGTTTAGTTTGTAATTCGTACCTGAGATAAGACCTTATCCTGTTTGTGAGAAACCCAAATATGCTAGTTGGAGGTCGCCAAAAGAAATCGGGATACTGTGGTATGCATTCATCTTATCATGGTTATTGAGGGCCGCCGACTATCTGCGGAGGCATAGCTGTTAGCTTGGGTACATGGTAACAGCAAAGGCTGTGGTGAAAGCATCTCACTTCTGGGGTGAAGAGGAAACAGAGTTTATGTAATTAAAGAGTTTGATATAGTGGGGATGGGAAAAGGAATAGAAATGCTGACCTATTCAAGTCTGTAGTTAAAATTTTCTCTGTGAAGTCCATTATGTCACCTCTATCCCAACAGTCACAGTGACAGATCTTCATCCACACCTCTCTTGTTCTGCGCGTTGGCAGTGAAAGTGACAGGTGGACACCGGTCAAAGTCGAGGACCCGTGTAAAATTTCCTGTTGCTCTCGTCTCCCATCGCTGCCAATCAGGTGGAGGAGCCAGGTCTGCAATGCTCTGTTGGCATTTAATAGTGCTGAGCCTGATTAAAGTGACAATGGATTAATTTTAAGCCACAGTCAAATTATTTTTAGTGTAACAGTTAGGGGATATGAGAATGTCATATTAATGGTTTACAAAATTGTTCTGTAAACATTACTGTGCCTGCGCAAATAGAAAGCAGTAATCAGTAACTGGGATATTAGTATTTATCATGTATACAGGGAATATGAATAACCTGATCTCTCATATCCCAAAAATGAACATAACTGGGATAAGCACTGAATGACGGGTACCATAAGAATGCAACTTTTAACCAACAGAAACTGCTGAGTCATGTGGCAAGTAATGCTAATAAGTAGCTAGCAAGTAACAGACTGACTCAGCAACATAAGAAATACAGTAGCTACTTTCTTTTTACAGCAGTCAATATTTGGTTTAATGAAATGAGCAAAACTGTAAGAAGTCAAATCCCAGCAAGAGAAGCAGCAGAAGATAATGCGATTTTACATAATATATTGGAAGTTTTGATGTAAGGACTATATGCAGGGCTAGTTATTAAACTACAATAGCTAACCGCTAACATGTTAGCCAGCTGGTACATGCTATCACAAGTCAGTCACAATAATTCTACAAGGTTCTCTCTATTTTCTCTACACTGGGTAATTTCATTAAGGAGTTATGAAAGGGGGGCAGGCTAACAAGGTTAACCATCCGTCAGTGTGCTGCCTCATTGTATTTTTTTACCTTTATGCAGCATTTTGGCTCAAAACTCATGGATGTATTTTTCCAACTGGACTAGCTGGGTTGTATTTCATCTGAACTCCACACTAATGCAGACCTTTACATTTTTAAATGCAGTGCTATTTTCCAATATCCTAATAGCACAAAGGTAATATTCATATACAATAAGCGTTGCTTTAACTATTGCATATATACATCAGCACTGTGTGAAAAGACACAGGTGCAGTGACAAAGTGGGGCTGCCAGTGCAAAATTCTGTGCATTATAAAACAATTTTAAATGCAATAAAACTGATCAGAACAATTCTGAATTTGGCTACCTGTGCACACAGATGCACAAACTACTATGTAAGGACATTAATTGCAAGATCCACTGTAGTTTCATTTTGCACCTCCAACTCCGTCAGTAATTGATTTGTAGTTTAAATAAGTGCCCGCATGCTTAGGAGTGAATGTATTTTTTTTTTCTCTGTTATTCCTCCCTATCTCCTTGAAGCTCCAAATGTCCTCTGTATCAAGTTGATTCATAATACTGGATCATATTTCCTCTGACCTCTGAATAATGTGCTTTTGTAGAGCTCTTGATTGGTACAGTCAGTAAAATGCTTGAGTGTGCAAAGTGAAGTCAAGGTTAGCTGTTCTGCCAGAGTTTGACGCTGCATCTGATTCCAAATGGTGATATTTTCTCTCCATTTATCTGGCCTGATACAATGTACCTTTCAGATATGTGTATGCAGGTCAAGGCTGCACTCTTACCCATTACCTCCCCCCCTGACTTGTCTTCCAAAGTCAGGGATGAGAGAAGACATAAATCAGTTGCATTTGAAGCTCAATAATCTGCAGCTTAAGAGGGAAAGTGATCTGAAATCTGATACCTCTATGTTTCATTAAATGCCTTCCGAGAAACATTTCTCTCCAAGAGGTAAGATCTTTTGTCGTAAGTGGACTGACAACCACCTGAGCTCCCTTGTTGTGTCCCTGACCCTGCATTTTGATTCATTTCTGCTTCATTTTCTTGTGTGTTATTGCTGTCTGTGTGCATGTATCATTGCAATTATTGCATTTGTGTTTTATATTATTCTGTGATCATTACACACAGTGTTACTGCATTACCATCTGGCCCTCAGGTCTTGTATGCATCTGTATGAAATGTCCCTGAATCAGTGATGATGCAACATCAGTTTGTTTGGTGCAAAGCTGCAGACTGACACCACATGATGTGGCCACTCAAAGGAATACTTGATCAAAGTTTTACCTTTCAGTATTAGATACTTGCTCTCCCTTATGCTGGAGTGGCAGCCTTTGAAAGTTTTTAAATTGCTGTTTTGTGGAGGACAGCAGCTGTAGTCCGTTTGGATTCACAACAGTTACAGTGAATTCCAATTGAGATCCAAAGTGATGACAAAAAAAAAAAACTCAACTCAAACCCATTCAAAAAAGTGTGAAACTTTGAACTACAAATAGACAGCATTCCTACATTTTCAGTGAAGTATTCCTTTCACTTCCCTTCACGAACGTGCATCACATTCTCTAAGCAAACATCCCATGTGTAGTTTCTAATGCTATACTGTTAAAAGCAGATACACATCTTCTGTTAAATCCTGCAGTGTATTCACCTCCCTATCTTTTTCCTGTCTTCTCTCCTTTTCTTTCCAGTTGATCAAAGTATGTTTGAGAACTCAGTTGCCCAGCAGCAGAGTCCTCAGACCTCCAGGCCGGGCCAGTCCTCGTCCCGACGCACCCCGGCATCACCTAATCATAACCTGGGGTCCAGCTCCATCGACTCTCCATCCTCCGGAGGCCAACAGAGGCTTAAAAATGCCTTTAATCTCGGCAAAGCTGTCGGTGCAAGGGTAAGCACAGCACAAGCTTTAAGCTCCCCCCACGTCATGTATTCCTTTAACTCTACATGACTGGGTTATAAAGTAAAATTCATTGCCTTGCTTTGCTTTATTCTCTCTTTCTTTCTTTCTGTCTTTCTTTCAGGTCAATGACTTGTTAAGAAGGAAGGAGCCCAGCCACCTCGGGGACATCGGGGTCACTGAGGTCAACAAAAACGTTGATGCTGTTTGGAGCTGTATGGACCAACTCAACCAGACCACTGCAAACAGGTGCACATACACACATGTATTTCCTCTCTGTTTGTGTTGTGGGAAAAGTACATATATATCGATCCATTTAAACTTAGAACCTCCTAAATTTGATCTCAATTTTAATTTCAGCTCACATAGGTCAAAGATTTACTCTCACAAATTTATTTGCAGACTCGTGTCTCAAAGGCTGCCAGTTTGATTCCACACATTGATAAAGGCAGTTGAGTTTTCTTTTGACTTTTCTGATTAAATTAATAATTTTTAGTGCTTCTGTACACTATGTATTAATTTTTAGGATGAAAATGTAAAAAAAAATCACTTAACTTTTCAAGGCTACATTCAATTTAATGATAAACCCCTGAAAGGCATAATCTTATCGTAGGCAGAAATGTTAAATTACCTATGCTGAGGAAGTGTCTTTCATTGTGAATTAGGCAGAAGAGGTGAATGATTTAAGATTTTTTTTTACTGTGAAATGTGGTCTTAAATTAATAATGACACATCAAAGGTGCCTGTGAGAGGTCTGACATTTTGAATAAGTCTGAACTTTTCAGCTTCTGTTACAGTCAAAATGGAAATGCCTTTTAATTGTGTATTCAATTCCCTCTTTTATACACAGACTCATACATTCAAGGTTGTTTCTGTGTCTGTATGTGGGGATTAGTTCCAGAAGCATTGATCTGTTGTGTCTCCAAGTGAGGATCAGTCAAGCAGAAGTCATTTTTTCAGTAGCTCTGCTCCCATTTGCCTCCATGTACTGGATTGTGAAGAGATAAAGTTTAATTTACCAGTGATGATCTGTAAAGATTTTCTCTGACCACCAACTGGTCCGGACAGATGGAGTTGAGAGGTTTTTTTGACCTGATAACTGACTGATTCTCCATTATTACACAAATCTGCCACCACCAGTGCCGGGGTCAGCGGTGGCCTAAAAGTTAGAGAGATGAGCTTGTGTTCAGGAGGTCGTCGATTTAATCCCCAGATCAGATAGACTGGCAGGAGAGATTTGGGTGGGAAAAGTGAAAATGTACCACCACTGTTGTGCATTCAAGCAAAGCTCTTAACCCCAACTGCTCCAGTGGAGCTGCTCAGCGGCCAGGAGATCAGACTGCGGTTGTACTAGGCAGCTCCTGGTGTGTATGTGTGTAATTGCGCAAATGTGATGAGGGTGTTCCTCTGTAAAAGAGAGGCTTCCTCTCAGTAAAACATTGAAAGAAAAAAAAACACACAAAATGAAAGGATGGAAATAAAATCATTAATCTTTTTATTTATTCCAGTATTTGGATTGTTAATGGTTAATAGGCATTTTAGGACCAAAGAGTTTTGGAGACTCCCTTACAGGACCTGCCCACTGGGGAGCTCCCCTTAGAACTACATACCTTCAAGGCTTTTTTTCTTTTTGCACTCCCATCACCAATAGGAACGCTTAAGTAACGTAAACCAGCCTACGCCTATTCCACTTTAACAAGTCAAAATTCTGTTGTATTTTCGTCATAGCAAATACTGTATGTTCGGTAAAGCCTGCACTTCACTGTCGGTCCATTAGTCCATTTTTATTGTTTTCTTTTTGTTGTTGTTGTTGTTGTTGTTTACACAGATAATTGTTTTTTAAAAATGCTGGTTGCCAGTGCAACATTGCCTCATGTTTGTCCAATTAACATACACTGCATGCATTGTATCTTTCAGCGTGCATTGTATCTTTCAAGGTCAAATCTTTTTGCATATGTATGCAGAATCTGTAGGCAACAGGATGAGATTTTGGTATCGGTTTGTAGTTCATTTATAGTCGGAGTAGTATCGACCAATTACGTTTGAGTGGCAGGTAAACTGTCAGCTGTGGTATGATGATGAGTTAGCTTTATATTAGCTTTTTTTAAAATGTACCTGCATTCATATGCAGATATCCGTTTATATAGACTAGCTGAAATGACCGACTCATGGAAGAGGAAGTCTTGGCTTGGACAACCACTAGCTGCACCGCATCAGCGTAAAATATTAGCCTTCACTCTCGGGCTTTATCCTCGTCAGACCAAAGGCCAATGGGTTTCATGATTTCTCAAGGTTCCTCTTGTGGTGGGAGAGTACCTACTGTGAAGTAGGAGCTAACAGTACCTCCAAAGGCATTCTAAGAACTACAGTTGTGCTTTTGCACTGTGAACACAATAAAAAGCGAGGTTCTTCTCAGAACAATGAAAAAGTTCCTCCAGTCTAAAAACACCTATTATCTAGCCTGTTGTCTATAGGCCAGGGGTGTAAGGACTGACCAATATGTTAGATTTAGAGATTGGGCTACATTAATGCCACACATCCACCCAAGTCACTCAGAAAAGTACCTAGTGCTCGTGTGTGTGTGTGTGTGTGTGTGTGTGTGTGTGTGCGTGCGTGCATGCGTGCGTGCGTGTGTGTGTGTGTGTGTTGCAAAATACCAAATTGAGAGTGGTGACATTGACACAGGAACTGATGTAAACATACCCGACCAGAAATATTTAGAGAACTCCTCAGTTACAGCATAAAAAGTTATCTGGTGTATCACTGCCCAGGACATCATCCTGGGTATATTGAATTTTGTATTTGAAATGAAAATTTACACAATCAATTTGAGAAGGTAACTTTCTAGTTGTCCATCCCTCAACAACAAAATTGTGTCTGTGCTCTTCACACTCATACATGCGTCCCCATCAGCTCCAGTGAACAATCATGCAGCAGTGATAAGTTCTTTCTCATCACTGTGGGATGTGGTTGCCATGGTAATTTTCTGTCATTGAAGGGAACGGCTCGTGAAATGAGTATGCTTTTGTAAACACTTTCAGTACACAATGAGGAACCATTCAAGCGATCACCAGGAGTCAAAGTAGATTTTTAAGTTCTTGCTGGTACTCTCCACCCTCCTGCACACACACACACACACACACACACACACACACACACACTCCATCACTTACTGTAACACGCTCTAATTGGTAGACAAGTGTAGGCATGAAGTCTGAGTCCACCTTCCAAATTTGATGTCTTTTCACCTACAACACAGTCTAATTCAATCAAAGCTTACACAGTGCACTCCAAGTTTCTCTTGAAAATCCTTTGAAGCTTTCAGCATCAATATGATGTTCAAGTGCGTCTTTGGAGAAGCATAATTCCAGCTGCACAGACATTGAAGGATTCAGTTTTGCAGAACTGGCCATTAAGGTCACTGCAGTTACAATAAAATACTATGCAGTAATCTCTCCAACAGTTGGAGGACAAGCTCAGTACTTCTCTCATGTCTGTTAGAGCCAGGCTAGCTGTTTCCCTGTTTCCAGTCTTTATGCTAACTTAACTATCCTCTGGCTCCAGCTTCATATTTAACAGACAGATGTGAGAGTGGTATTGATTGACTCATAAAACTCTCTGCAGGAAAATTATTAAAGATGCTTTAGATGTTTAAACAGCTGTTTCTGACATGTTGTCAATGCCTACTATGAGGGCAACAATGGAGAGCACAGTCAGCTCATACAAACTAAGCAAAAGCAAAAAAGAAATCACTCAAGTTTAACACACACTCTGATACAGCCAGCAAAATTACACCACTTTTGGGATGAAAGGTCTCCGTAAACTCACCATCAACATGTCAGGGGACACAGAGTGTTGTTATCCTGATAATGCCGCATTGTGAACAACAAATCTGTGTTGACATCGGCAAGAGGAGAGCTAGTTAATGTTAGCTGTTAGCAGCCAGTGGCCAAAACTAGCAGCTAACAGAGGTTGCGTAGGGTTACATTACTATGCTGTTAAGCTCTATTCAGTCAAAGTGACTATAAGGCAAAGTTATCATGATGTGTTCAAATGTGATTTTGTAAAGTTTTTGAAGAGAAACTTGATAAATGCAGCTGTTTGAAAGAGACTTTGTTGGTATTTTCACAGCAAAATAAAATAGATACTAAAAAGGGAGTAAAAAGGCTTTTGAAGCAGTTACTTTAAGATGTTTTTCATGTGAAAGGTTATATTAAAGGTTGTTTCATAAATTTCAGTGATTGAATTGCTCATTCAAAGGTTGCGTAATGAAGGGCTGAATGACTGTAAAACTGTTTGGGATGTTTTTTTCTTATTATAAAAATTTCTTTGGTTTTCCTGGCATAAAAGGGGGAATAAATCACATCATAAACAGCAAGCAACAAACATCGGTATCTGCTATCAACTTTTTCAGTTGTAAATACAATATCTCTTGAAGGCCTTGAGGGATTTTTTTCAAATTTGGCACAAATGTCCACTTACACTCAACAATGAACTGTATGGATTTTGGCGGTCAAAGGTCACTATGATGTCACATCTGTCTCATTCTCATGAATTCAGTATCTCAAGAAGGCCTGGAGGGAGTTTCCTCAAATTTGACACAAATATCCACTTGGAATCATAAATTTACTGATTACAATTTTGTGGTCAAAGGTCAAGGTCACTGTGACCTCACAAAACATGTTTTTGGTCATAACTCATTCATACACTGATAATGACAAGATTCCACACTGATGTCTAATAGGATAAAATGATCAAGTGATGACATTTTATATCCAAAAGGTCAAAGGTCAGTTTTACTGTGACATCATGACGTTCTGCAAAAACACTTCTGGTCATTACTTAACATTATAACACAGGAACAGAAGCATTTGGTCCGATACTGAATTGGTGACACTAACCTAGGCTGCTCACTTTGAAACTGCTGATTTTATAGATTTTACTGTGCTGTCAGGGGGAGATGTGTGTGTGAAGCATCCATGTTTTCACAGGCATGGATGTAAACTATAAGTGCAACTTGACAGGTTCTGGTTTTGAATACTGGTATTGTTATCACCCCAGACCTTCACAATCCCTTCCCTAGTATTTTCGGAAAGCTCGGCGCTCACAAGTTTGTATTTTTGCTGATGTTTTTTAAAAATCGACGGGATTGTTTTTGTCTTAATTACTCCTATTGTCATCCCTTTTCTCAGATATGATAATGTGACCTGGCAGCAGTGTTTGAAAGGCTTAAAACTCGACTTCTAATGCTGAAAATCAACCTCACAACATTTTTGGGCAGCACATGTACATGTACCAAACCATTTTGGTATACTTACTTTTAGCCTCTGATGGCTTTCTCTGTTTGTCTAATTGTCACTATCTCTGTATCACTCTCCAAATCCTCTTCTTCTCTTCTAGTCACATCTCCTCTTTTGACTCCTTCCCTCGGCTGGACCCACCACCCCCAACAGGGAAGAAACGCCTCCCTCGGGCTCTGAAGACCACCCAGGACATGATGATCTCGTCCGACCCCGTTGTCTCCTCTCCTGACCCAGCTGACTCATCCTCCTTCCTCTCTTCTCCTGACAAGATGCCCCTGATCGCTAAGGAGGAGCTGAGGAACAGTGAGGAGCAGCAGCAGCAGGGCGAGAAGGAGGAAGAGCGGTCAGAGGAAATCACATTGCCGCCAAGCCCAGCAGAGAAGAAAGTTGTTTCTGATTGGGAGATGACAGGAAGCAATGGCAAAGTCGATGGAGTCACAGGTGGAGAAGATGATGATGTGGAAAACGGGAGCACCAAAGGAGGCGAAGAGGAATGTCAGCCCCAGCTGCAGCTCTCCGTGCCAGACCTCATCAACAAAGATCCCCCCTTGCTGGAGCCCAGGGCTAAGCCCTGCGACGTCTGGCAGAAGGCATCAGGACCGGACTCCCGGCTGGCCTCCACCCCATGCTCAGGAAAAACTACCTGCCGCATCAGCCTGGGTGAGGAGGCTCTGCTGGGGAACGGCACTCCCTGCAGTAAAGGCACCGGAGTGAGCGCTGAAGACTCAGAGTCCCACCCGGACCTGCTGTCATTTGAATAAAGACCAGAGGGGTCAGATACCACTTCAGTTTGTCTCCAGGAGTTTGGAACTTTTGCTCTTAGAGGTAATTCAAACAGACTAATGACAAGTACTGCAGATCAAATATTCACTGCCACTTTGAAATATATAACTCTCCCTGCTCCAGGGTTTGCTTTAGGAAAAGGGAACAAGGGCTTCCAGGAATCAGGGCAGGGGCCAGAGCTGATGCTTTTAGACTTTTTAGCAACTTTTCTTGAGTTTAAATGTCATGGTGATACAATCTGGCCCTCCAACATGGCTGACGGACACCACCACCTTCTTCCTAATGATTTGAACACAAAGCTGACCAGCACCAGATGATGAATAAGGAGCAAGAGAGAAAATGTGTAGGAGCTGAGGGTTCATTACGGTGCAGACAGAATTCCAATTTTATTATTTAGGAATGCAATAATACCTGATAATGTAACAATGAATGTAACTGATAAAATGAAATATCCCTTTAAAAGGGCTGAAAATGTAAAATCCTGACAATGGCGAGCGTAAAGACAACTTTATACTGATGTCATTTATTCCTGAAAGTAAAACATTATTAATGTACATCTTTTAGAAATGTATGGGTGATACTTATCAGCATTAAGTTATATTATCAAGCCATTCATTTCAAGAACCCTTTTGTCGACATTTTTAAAACCATTTAAAGGGACTTCTATTTCACAATGGTCACACTGTAAGTCTCATATTGTACAAAAGCTGCTACAATGAAACCAATTACAAACTGCATATATATGAGTTATATAGCAATATCATTTACACTCAGTATAATTAGAATAATAACGTTTTTGGAGAATTTTCATCAGCCTAATAGTATTTCCAGCACAGAATATTCTTGAAAACTGAAGGCAGACTCAGGAGGAGAGGAGGGAAACAGGAGGAAGAAGCTGAACGAATGCGGATGTGTTAGAGATGGAAAGGTTTGGGGGAGAGTTTACATTCAGTTCAGTCAGCATAAAATGCCTCGCAGCAGTTTCTGCCAGAGTTTGTCAGGACTGGAAGGCTTTTGACCTGTAGCTTCATTCATATTAATTCATTTCTGCCCCCTTTTAGGTGCAGTGGGAGTTTTAGAAAGAGTCCTCTCCTACACTGCCCTTTGGCACAGACTCTGACCCTGAATGTGACATTTGTAAAGTTATCAGCATGTAAGGACACTGATCAGCATCCCCATCAATAGGTAGCATTTCTTTTGGTTTAGATTAAAAAAGAAAGAAAGAAAGAAAAAGATGAAAAAGGAAACCTGGGATTGCTTGCTCATTTATTTTAAATATTAAAAACACCCCAGAAATTGTTGAAATTAAAATATAAATACACAGAGCAAAGTCAGTGTAAACTTCTTTTCTTTTTTTAAAAAATTCAAGTACACAAGTACATTCTGAACCGTCTCCACAGTTCAGAGTTACCTCCTGGCAGCAGCAAGAAACAGAGTGCCAGGGCCTAAAGTCCATGTGGAAAAACATATGCTAATTCTAATTTAAAAAAAAAAAAATCTGATTATAGATATTGTGATTTTTTTTCCTTTGGCTCTGTGCTCCAGTGATAATGAGCTTGTGTTGTGAGCAAATACTAGTAGAAACTAGAAAATAAATTGAGCAATTTGTGGAACCACATTCAGTATTTACATGAACGTATCTCTGGTCTGGAATGAGAACGGCTCCCATGCTTCCTCTGTGCTGACAAAAAGTGTCTTCTTAGCTGGCTGAACTGAAAGTAGATTCTTATTACCCCCTTAAAAAAACCTGACAGCGAGTCGGATGAAAGGATGGATGGGCGGACGGGCGGCAAGTGGAGGGCGGGCTGCTAAAAAGTTATGTTTGAGCAGAAGACAGAGAGGATAATGAGCTGTCAACAGGGAGAGATGAAAGTGGTGTATTCTATTCAAGCAGATCATTAAGTGACAGACCAAAGACAGAAATTAGCGGCTCAGTCAGACAGGTTGTTTTTGTCATATTGTTTTTAGCGAGCTATCAGAGTGAAAAGAGAAGCAATAATACATACAGATTTTTTCCTCCTTTATTTTCGCTTCATCTATTAATGAAAACCAAAGTCAGAGCATTTTGAAAATTTTGATAACAATTCACATGCATGTTTTAGATCTTCTGACTTTTCTGACTCACCGCAGAGAGACTGTGTCAGATGAGCTGACAATAACAGAAAATAACCCACTGTTGAATCAGACAGTCAGCGTCAACCTTACCCATGTGTCGCTGCAGGAGGAGCAGAACCAAGCTGCGAGGGCTGTTTTATCACAATCAAAGTGGAAATCTGTGTTTTTATAACACTATAATCTGAGCATCTGTTCCTCACATCTGTGGCACTGGGTTAAAATTCACTTTAGACACACATGGAAAGCAAGCTCCAGATCCCCACCCTACAAATAACCCGTCTTTCTGTGAGGTTCCTGAAGTGGCCTCTGTAAGTGTCCACTGTGTCCTTGCAGGGATTTCCCGACTTCAAGACAGAGAAAAAAAACTTCCCAGAAAACACTGAGACGGACACAGAGCCAGCTGTAGTTGCGGTCAGGTCGTGCCCATGAGAATGAGAGGAATGCGGAGCTGGACTTAGAGAAAGAAAGCTTTGTCTCTCTGTCTGTCCCCGTCTCTCTGACTTTGTCTCATATAAAAGCGTCCCCATTTATTTTAAAGCTGTAACAAAACAGCAGGTGTCCCCCACATGCCAAACCAAATTACAAAAATAGTTTTCCCAATTAGTTTTATCCAGCATTCATCAGATCAGAGTCGATTTTTTTCTTTTACTTTAAGTTTTTAACTAAAAGCAACAGTTTGTGGAAACACATGCTGAGTTTTTCACGTGTTTGCGTGCTGTGAGGAACAGAAACAAAATGTATCTCCACTGTGCTGGGGTTGCAGATGTTTCAGTAATCTCCAGAACCAAAGCATTTACATTGCTAGATAAAACATAAGTGGGAAAATGTTTTAATTTTGGTCAAAGTGACAGTTTAAAATCAGGGCAAGAGTGGAAACATGTTGTGAAAGTAAATGAGTCAAAGCAACAAGAAGCAAAGACCTGATCTAGATTATCTGATAATCACCACAACTTAATCAATCACCCATATTAATGATAGGACAAAGTATTTGTACATGTTTTGTTGCTTCGACGTTTTATTAGTTTTGATTTAATTGATCTTGAGTATTTTAAAGCCCCTGAAAGCCTGGTTTCAAATTCTTTTTGTTCTTACTCATAATATAATATCAATAACTAAATGTGCAGCAATCACTGTTAAAGTTTGGGGAAGGAAAATCTTTATTAAGAGTTAAACACAAACTCTGTGGCTGAGGTTTGATCACATTTGATTGACAGTGCTCGCAATATAAGCAAAAAAAAAAAAAAATTGTCATTACATTTTGATTAAAATTGCTAATCCCTGATTGGTGCATGGAAATATGTGACAATAATTATTTTCAACCGAGCTCACTTTAAACCAGTGACTAACAAAAATACAGAAAAACAAAATTGTTTAAACTTTGGCAGAATATGTGTTCATGTTGAATCCTATCGCACAAAATGTGTTATCACGGCCTTGAAACATAAAAAGTGTTGTATTTTGTAATCTGTCTGTCTTCTGCATCTGACTGATATCTGAAGAGACTCAGAGGTTGTTTTCAGGATTCAGGTGATAAGAAAGTCTGTCTATCAGCACAGAGGTAATTGCTACACACCTGGATGAACCAGGAGAGGTTTTGACTGAACCCAACAAAACTGAACACAGGATCAGACCGACAACAGCTGCTTGTATTTAGTCAGAGGGTAAAAGCAATAAGGTGGGATGAGTGGTTTCTCAGACTCTCTGAAATGCCGCGTTTCTTTCCTTTTAGCAAAATCACCAGTGTAAAGAAATGAAGCTGAGACAGTGAGAGCAGCTCACCAGTTATCATGCATCCTTTAAAACCACTAAAGTAGATTTCTATTGTATTTTCTGATGAAGGAACAGTGCTGTATATGTTATGGAAATATTGTCGCTCATTTTTTATAATATCTGTGAATATGCCATGGCGTCTTGCTCTGAGAAATGAAGGAAAGTGATTTATTTTGATATTCAAGTCACAGAATCTAGTTATGGCAATCTGTGCTATTTAGTTGCTTCGATTAATGTCATAAAAGAAAAAAAATGACCTTGCTTTCTATTTTTTATGTTGTTAGGTTTTTGTCTTTGTGAAGCCAGTTGACATAATTTCAGCAGTTATGATGTATGAAGGAAGTTATACGCTGCTCATGAAGGCTTTTTGAAAACAAGGCACAAACGGACCGCTAAAGCAAACCTGGGACTTTTTATTGATTCATATCTTAAAATTGCTGCAAATGAAATCTTTAATTTTTTTATGAAAATATGCTACAAAAATCAAAGTGAATCGATGATTCTTTTTGTTGTATTTTCCTAATGTATCTTTTTTTAAAGTGGGGATGTAATAACTCCTGTAATGATTGTAATGTTTAAAAAAAAATCTTGAAATAGACCTAATCATGACTTTCTTGTTTTCTGTTGTGTGACTTTGTGTCTTTTTAAATGACGGGTTTTTTTCTCTGTGTGGAAAAACACCTACTTCATTTATTCTGGGCATATCCTGCCTTTTATGTCCTTCCTCCGTCTCATTCCTGCGACGACGATGGCAGCCAGCCTCCCACTCAGCCTTTCCCGCGCACTTCCTGTTTTGACGGAGCTCATGTCCTTGTCAGTTTTCTGTTTCTGTGTCAGTCTGCAGCATAGACGGGCCCTTGTGTGTGTCCTCCCTCCGCTTGATAGATCGTCTGTTTTTCAGAGAACCAAACACAGAGAGATGGTGGTGGCGGGAATTCAGGAATGGAAGCTGCTCTGATGTTTAATTCATCTGTATTTGTCCTAATTCATGGAAATCCTGGTCTTCCTCTCCAAGTGTCGCCGGCCTTGTGTTTGTTGCTGTGTCGAGACAAGCCGAAACCCATCAGGGATGCGACAGAGAAAGAATCCAAGAATGGAGACGACTGCAGTGTGATGTTTATTTACCCATCTTCTACATCAGTGGTGTAAACAGCCAATCAGCTAAGACACACAGGTCTTGTCACTGTTTAATAATTCAAACATGATGCATATATTCATTCTCTACAAAGGAATCTAGGCTTCTGTGCATAATGAACCATCAAGTGTGGGGGACAGTAAGCAGGCTGGATGAAGTCTGTACAGCCTAACATTTGTTTAACCAACTTTCTGTATTACATATCCCAATATGACTTTCTTGGCGAATTTGTGAAAAGTTTCCCAAGAACCTTAATCATTTTCAAGTTTTGCAGTAAGTTTCAGAATGAGTTACTTAAACTCTCAGTCACCCAAACTCAGCAAAACTCATATGAGGTTTTAATTTGTTGACACAACTTTAGTGTAGAAGTGAATTAAGGTACTAGAGAAGACCAGAAGTTTAAAGAAATACTCCAGAGATTCAGTACGGGACTGCCACAAAGTTGAAATTCTTCTAAGAGGCAGATTTAAATAAAGAAGGCTCAATTTCAAAGCAGCAGAGGCTGAGATGGATCTTTCATCTACTGTAATGCAACTCGATCACATCTTTCTTCAGACTCCTACTGACAAGTAAATGCTCCTGTCTTTCAATGTCCACACCTCTAGTTCATCACCTGCCTTCTGCTGAAAAAAAAAAAAAAAAGTGTTTTCTTGGAGTCCAAACCAAGATAACCCAGATGACATCACTGTGACATCATCAGGGTCATAGACTCAAACTTTGGAAAGTTTTGTTCAGAATCCCAGAATAATCATCCTGCTGTTTTCACAGGCTGAGTAGAGTAAATCATGACAAGTAAACAGAACCTTGTTCAAAATCTGTGAAGTTCATCAAAAAATAATTTTAAAGTCCTGTACAGTCAGAGCGTCTTCAGCCTCTGTTATTTTATGTATTTCTAAGTGAAACTGAATGTCGTGTAAAACTACGAGAGATTTGATCAAACAGGTCTGGGATTAAACTGGATTACTCAAAGTTGGCATCGCTTTATGAGCATAGTGATTTTAAAAATATTAATCTGAGTGCTGTTAAGATCTTTAGGCTTTAATACTTGTACACTTTTAATCAGTATGATGAAGTATTGGACAAGTTTTACGCCCGTTTAAACAAATCCTGCTTGCACTTTCATCTAACAGGGTTCACACGTGAATTTCCACCAGGTTTTTACAGTTTAAAGGTCCAGTGTGTAGGATTTAGTGGCATCTAACGGTGAGGTTAAACTGAACCTTCTCCTGTGTGCCAACATGAAAACTCAAAAAAAGTGAATGGCCCTATCTAGAGCCATTGTTGTCTTACTTTCAGGTGATAATAAACTAATGAAAACATAGTTCTGAATATTACATTCCATTTCTGCCAATAGATTCTCCAAAATCATACACACTGGACCTTTGAGTTGAAGTAAATTTTGGACCTCAAATATGCCGACCTTAAGAACATCCAACAGGATTCTGGCACAGACGGAAGGCAAAAGTTAAATCTGTGACTGAGAAGGATGGAGGGAAAGTATTCATGGTCAGGGTTAAAACTGATTTTAAGACTTTTAACAGACGTCAGTGCAGGAACAAGATCTAGTGTGGCACCACTGTTAAAGGCCCCCAAAACACTTGGACTGGCCCTGTTTGAAACTTTATGAGGCATAAGTACATTCTTATCTATGCTCAGCGATATGTTGGTATTTATGTCACAGTGTTATTTATATGAGAAGCAAGCAGAGTGAGATCTGAAAGGAAAATTAGCACAGCAATCAGGCAGGCTGCCGTCAGAGCCAACCAAGTAAATGAGCTTTTCGATGAGTCGTTTCAGAGCAGCGTGAAAAATAATAATTAGAAGCTCTTTGTGATTGTGAGAAATAGGTCCCATACTGAGTGCGAGGACATGTCTGAAGCTGTTAAAGCCATGCAATGTATATTTAATACATGCCATTGTGTAATGAGACTGCCAGCATCGCAACACTAACCACCCTCCCTCACCCCTCCCTTCCTCTCCACATGCTCTCTGCTGACCTGGCAGAGCGAAGGAAGTCTGCTCACCGATGTGGAACAGCAGATCAGGAGGTGAATGTCAAACTGATGATAAGATGAAAACAGCAGTGTTCGGATTACAGCCCGTTTATATGATACGTGAGCCGTATATCTGTATGACTGGAAATACAGATTAAGAAATAGAGTGAGTGACTGATAAATGTCAAAAGAAGAAGGAACTCAAAAATAACACCTCCTGTGACCTTCTTGCCAACGCAGATGACCTTTCGATGCATCACTAACTTCAAGTGAAAAGTCTTTCCAGAGTTCGTAGCGCCTACCAGCTGGTTTCAAACTGATGATTTACTAAATGAGGTTGCACCATTAAAACTGAGGATGTCCTAATTATTACTGTTGTGAGGAAGCAACCGAGTGCATCTAGTTAGATAGGCCTACAATCAAGCATGTAAACAAAGAAAAAACATTCCTTTATTTATTCATGAACACATGCAGAAATTGGTGCATGTCAGAGTAAATGCTATTTATGTTAAGCTAACCAATGTTATAAGCATCACATTATTAGCATTGCATTTTGTTATTCGGGGTAGGCCTATATTATGTTTTTTTGTAAGTTGTCAGGTTGGATATGTCGACCACATTACCACTTTTTCTCTTAAATCTCAAGGTTAGCGAGATAATGTTGACTGTAGTTAGCGGGCTATGTTAGCTATGCAACAGTTACATCCGGTTAGTTAATAAATAAGCCTGTTAACAAGCTTTAGTTGTCACTAACAACCAATCAGAACTAGTTTATGGATTGCAACAAATTTTAACTAATTTATTTATTCATTTCCTGTAACCACTTATTCTGTATGGGGTCGGGGGCGTGCTGGAGCCTATCCCAGCTGGCATTGGGCGAGAGGCAGGGTACACCATGGACAGGTCTCCAGACTATCTAGACACAGGGCTGACACATAGAGACAGACAACCATTCACGCTCACATTCACACCTACGGCCAATTTAGAGTCACTAATTAACCTGCATGTCTTTGGACTGTGGGAGGAAGCCGGAGTACCTGGAGAAAATACATGCTGACATGGGGAGAGCATGCAAACTCTGCACAGAAGGGCTCCCCCACCCTGGATTTGAACCAGGAACCCTCTTGTCTATCTTGGTAATGTAAAAATCTCCAATTGGAAAACAGTTTTAAGTATCAACCTAAGAACAGCTGCTGCAGTCTGCTCCTGATAGTTTGATGCCTTTGGTCATTTAAAAACATTAAACCAATTCACTTGGTGTGTGCACTGTAAGTAAATTTAGATTTGGAAAACCCAATGTGGCCCCTCAGACTGCCCCTTTGCAAGTTTCATGAAACTTTAATGAATTATGGGTCTTGCTGCTATTGCAGCTTCAAAATCACAGATGTCTGAGATTTCACTTTTCAAAGACTGTCCTCTACACAAGCACTTGGTCATTACAGGTTGTAGAT